GCTTTATTCCAAATAGAAAAAAACACAAATTTCCAAATAAAACGTAAACACCTTTATATGAACTTTGAACCCTTTGGTTCCGTGGTTCCGGTAGTACAAAATGAAAAAAATCGCTGTTGCAGACATACATTTACTGTGAAAAAATTTCATTTCGGGGGGGGGCCCGGGCCGGCCCCCTGCGTACGTCCCTGCCCTTCACCACTATGGGTTCATGCAAGACATATTAATATCTACAATATCCTGTAGATATAGAAATATCGCATACATCAGTCGGGACCTAATTCAGTACTCTGTGCAAAATTTTGATTCAATCGGACCAATATTGGGAGTTTGCTGCACAATTTACTTTAAATCGGACGATACTATATATGGGAGCTATATCTAAATCGGACGAGAATATATATGTGAGCTATATCTATATCCGAACCGATTTTCACAGAACTTGGCACACATCATTTTGGACCTAATTCAGTACCCTATGCCAAATGTCGTGCAAATCGAAAGATATACAAGGACTTTGGTACCCCATTTACATTAAATCGGAAAAAAGTATATATGGGAGCTATATCTAAATCAGAATTGATTTTCACGAAACTTAGCACACATCATGCTCGACTTAATTCAGTATCATACGCCAAATTTGGTGCCCCATTTACCTTACATCGGACGAAAATATATATGGGAGCTATATCTAAATTTGAAGCGATTTTCGCGACACTTGACTCACACATTCCAGACTCAATTCCGTACACTACACCAAATTTCGTGCTAATCGAAATAGGAACTTCCGTACATTAAATCCGGCGAAAATATACATGGGAGCTATATCTATACTTTAACCGATTTTCACGAAGCTTGGCACACTTCAATCTAGACCTAATTCAGTACGCTATGCAAAATTTCGTACCAATCATGGGGACTTTGGCACACCATTCTTATTAAAATAGCCGAAAATATATATGGGAGCTATAACTAAATTTGAACCGATTTTCATTAAGCTTAAACCACATAATTCTAGACTCAGTATGCTTTGCCAAATTTCATTCAAATCGAAAGATAATCAGGGACTTTGGTTTACCATTTACATTAAATCGGACGAAAATATATATGGGAGCTATATTTAACCGATTTTCACGAAACTTAATACACATCATTCTAGACTTAATTCAGTGTGGAATGTCAGATTTCGTGTAAATCAAAAGATATCTAAATACTTTGGAGCAGCATTTACATTAAATCGGACGAAAATATATATAGGAGCCATATATAAATCGGAAGCTATTTTTACCCAATTTCAATAGGGTTCGTCCTTGGACCAAATAAATGAGTTTTACCAAATTTCATCTCAATCGGATCATAAATTCAACCTGTACGTTGTTTACAATTTCAAATTGACAGACAGACGACCGGACGGACATGCATAAATCGACTTAGAAAGTGATTCTATGCATGTGTCTATCTCGTTTCCTTTTGCCTGTTACAAGCAGTGTAGTGAAGGATATAAATATAAAAAACTAATATTATAGGAAACTTCTTTTTTATACAGTAGTCAATGTTATTCAATATCAAAGAATATAAAACTTCACTACATATCATTTTCCTGTTTATGTTTTATTGTTTTTTTATGTTTTATTTTTTTTTTTTTTGTTATTGTTTCGAACTTGATTGGAATTTCTCAATAACCGGCCATCAAAAATTATGGCAAACAGTTTATGGCAGCTAAACGATGCGATTGATAAAAGTCAAAAGATGATTTATGGGTAGAGGTTGAAAAAAAGTGAGATATTCTCTTTAAAGCTTTTATCGATGCACATTGGTGTTTTGAAGTGCTGCTGCGGCATGATGATGATGACATGGTGGGTCTATTCACAACATATTTATGGTTGGTATTTCACAATGGCGCAATTCTGAAGCATATTTAAAAACAATTTTGTAGAATGGTTCAATGATATATTTTGAACATAAACTTTATTAGCTTCTACTTATTATTTTAATATTTTATTACTTTTTTTGTTGCTGAAGGTGTTGAAAATTCTACACCACAAAAACTTGTATCGGAGTATATGATGGCGCCAAAAAAACATATATTCATAAATATAAATCCATCATAAATGTTAATGGCGCCATCCGCAAATATTTTGACTGCTTATCTACTGAAAGATATTGATCGTCAACACTAACCTTAATGATCATTTAAATTAGTATTTGTGGCAGAACATTAATCAACCTATATTCGATACATTTTGCCTAAATATATTCTAAGAAGAAGAATGAGTAAGAAAGAAAAAAAAAACAACTCCAATGATATTCAAAAAATTTAAAATCTGTCGGGATGTATCAAAACTTTATAACAACATCAATTCCTTTAAAATAAATATTAAGTTCGGAATTTCCAAAAAAAAGAAAAAAACCGGCCCAATAAAAAAAATTCCAAAAAACATATTTTTTACGCAAAATTGTATATTGCCGCAAAAAATATTCATAATTAAGAAAAAAAGATATAAAAATCTATTTTGCCAATCACATAATATAAATAAAATATCATGCGTTGTTTTTATTGTAATATTTAGAATAGTTAATAAGTTTCAATGACGTGTATTTTTTTCTGATTATAGTTATTTGAAATGGTATTGTATTCTTGTTTTCGAAAAACAATAACAAAATTGTTGTTTTATTCTAAAACAAGGCAAATCAAAACAGAAACACAATAGTTGGATGAACTATAATTAAATACAAAACAAAACAAGAATAACACTCAGATATTGGCGACAATCCGACCAGCTATCTGGTTTTCGAATGTTGCAAAACAAATAAAAATATTATTTTATTGCCTTCGATAGTGCATTGTGAAATGATGAAACAATAGTTAATCGGAATTTAAGAAGTAATATTTTCACTTAATTTAAGGTGCCATTATAGTTATTCGTTCGATTTTCTTCCGTATTAGAGCCAAAGTGTTAATTATTTTTAGAATAATCAAGTCACTTAGTGAAAAGTAAACACCCGCCAAAACTATATATCTTCTAAAGCAAGGAATCAAAATATTTAAAAATTTCGGAATATTTCAGGGCAGATCTATATTCAAATTTTATATTTGTTACTTCAATAAGCCGAAAGAGCAAATTAGAGCCACTTCACAATTTTGCCCACAGACAATAGAGCTTATGTCTAATACGCAGCTAGAAAGCAGTAAGGAAAGCTCAAAAGACGGACGGGGCCGACTATATGATACCCTTCACCACATTGGGTACATGCAAGACATGTTAATATCTACAATATCCTATAGATAGATGATATATGGAATCGGGAGAAATTAAATGTGTTATCTAGATAAATATTTGAACCAATTGGAAAACCCCATACACATATAATTCTGAAATCAATGAGAAAAAACCAAAAAACCGGGCCAGGTATAATAGAAATTAAAACTCAGTAAGGAAAGTTCAAAAGTCGGACGGGGCCGATTATATGATACCCTTCACCACTTTGGGTGCATACAAGAGAGGCTCATATGTACAATATTCTTCAGATAGAATAGACATAGCATCGATTGAGGACCATTTAAATGGAATCGGACGAAATTTCCTGCGTAAAGTTATAGATATTTGAACTAAATTAAAACAAGCCATACACATACCAATCTGCAAAATATGTATAAGATCAGTATTTAAATGGACGTATTTGAGCAACCGTGGAATCCACCATTTGGTATGCTGCAACATTTGGCATGCTTTGCAATATTTCATGTAAAGCGAATTGACATAAGCTCCCTTTGGCCCATTTGCTCAAAATCGGACAAAAATATATGAGGGAGCTATATTTACATCTAAACCGATTTCAACAACAAAATATCGTGCAAATAGAATATAATATATGGGACACCATTAGGGTTTGGGGTCAGGAATTCCCGATTTTTTTCGATATCAAAACTGCTGGAATTATATTTTGAAACCCACGTTTTAGCAACTGTTTCAGATAGGGCGAACGTCATGAGAAAATTTATTCTGAATGTCCTATTGAAGGGTTATTTTGCTGAAATCATGCCATATATTTAAATTATTGTTGATGCTGTCTTGAAAACATTGTAAGATCATCAAACTTCCATCGACCATTCAATTCCACAGATATTACAAAAAGAAATAAGAGACCAACGTGACTTAAAATTTATTTCTAAACTGAAGTTCAGTACTCTGTGCAAAATTTTGTCGCGATCGGACACATATAAGGGCAGTATGGTGCTCCATTTGATTGAAATCAGACGAATATATATAGGAGTTTTAGAATCTGAACCCATTCCAACAAAACTTAGCACATATCAACCTAGTCCTAATTAAGTGCTCTGTGCAAAATGTTGTCTCAATCGGACCAATTACATAAAATTTGCACCATTTACATAAAATCGGACGAAACTAGATATAAGAACTATATCTAAATCTGAACCGATTTTCTCCAATTTCAATATGGTTCGTCCTTGGGCACAATAAGTGGCATGTGCCAAATTTCATACAAATCGGATCATAAATGCGACTTTCACAAAAAATACATGGACGGACGGGCAGACGGACATGCATAAATCGACTCAGAGGGTATATATCTATCGACCACACTGAGTGACAACAACTAATACTGGCAGCAACAACTGTCACTTTTTTACTTGAGTTTGTTTTTTCAAAATGTAATACACTCGAAACCTGTTCTTGGCCTAATTTCGTACAGCTTAATTGGTTTATCGCCTGATAATGACAATATAGCTTCGTACTTTTCGCATATTTTTTGGTATTGATGTCAACTTACACCTTTGGCGCGTTCACGGAACACACGGAACACTTCTGTGACTCATTCCAATTGTAAGATCATTAGCACATTTCTTTCCATTTTAAAATAAAACATATTATTTTTATATAATTTTTAACTCTGTATTTCGATTCTTTGATTTAAATAAATAACAATTTGAACTAAAATAAATTAAACGTAGATGGAACACACCAATTTCGATCACATTAAACACGACGCTGAGTACGATATTTACGTAAAATTGCCGATGGCAAATAAATGCTTTCAGGACTTTGAGCTGGCACAGCAGTGGAAGCAGCACTTTGTTTACCGTAATTCTGAGCTGCCGAAGCAAAATTAATTACTGGAGCAACACCACCATTGAAATTTTGCGAAGTACCGCCCAATGAATCATATTGGCTTTGAATGGCGCGTTGAGCATTGGCCGCATCTTCCGGTGTACGATATTTAACAAAATGAACTTCTGGCTTGGCATTGACATTGCTACGAATGGCATTGAATTTGTTGGCCAATTCATTCAAATCAGGTTGTTTGGTAAGCACATAGATGGCGGTACGTTGTTCCATAGCCTGTTTCACTAGTTTAGCAACAGCATCTTCGTATGCCTTATTTTCGGGATTCTTGATGAAGATGACACGGATTTTCTTTTTCGAAGCAGCTGCCAAAATTTCACTAGCATGTGGATCATCAAGTAAACCTTCGGGAGCTGTAAAATAATAAAATTCCTTGTGGACACCACCAACAACGGGAGCTGGAGCCGACGAACTTCCCAATAGTTTCGATGAACCGCTACTACCGTAATTGTATTGGGCACATGCTGTGGCCACCAAACACAATACCAACAAAGTCCGCATCTTCGTTTTAAGTATTACTCTCTATTCGATCGTCTGAACTCTTTGAAGGTTAAAATCAACCTGAAATGTTCTAAAGGAATAACAATTTAGTATTTATATGGTGAAGGTGGTTTAGTTGTGAGTTTTAGTAGATCTTTCTAGTTTAGGTAATTATGTTAAAATCTGGTTGTTAAATACTGTAGTTGTTGTTTTTTTTTTTGATTAACTAGTTTTGTGAGTGTGTGTTTGTGTATGTTATAATGATGATGATTCGACTTTCCCATGAATCAGTTAATTATGTTGTTCAACTGGCATTTATTTAATTAATTGAGAAGTTTTTTTTAGAATTTTTTATAAATACCGCTACGCTCTACATTTTAATATCACCACCTTAATAATTTGTTTTCATAATTTTGGAACTTTTGAAAAAGTGTTAAAATAAATAAAATTTCCTAAATGAAAAAAACATGGCCATGGCTGGTCATTTGTCCGCATATCGTCCGTTGTAATACGTATCGATACGCACACCAATTAACAAAATGAACATTTTAGTTAAAATATTTGTTTTGGACCTCAAACTAAGTGAAAAATCATTAAGAAAAGTAGTAAAGTCGGACGGGGCCGGCTATATGATAACATTTAGCACTCTGGCTGTATTCAAGTGATGCATCCTAACAGACCTCGGATTTTAGAAAGAAATATATGATCTGTGTCCAAAAAACAAACTTAACCGTACAATCAATAACCGAGTACGTTTGTATCTTACTATGTTCTTATAAAGCACATATTTTTATGTCAGGGTAAAATTTTATGACGATTTAAGCATGTCTGTCTGTTTTTTGATCTCAAGAGAATTCGCTGAAATTTGGTACAATGGGATCTTACTGGGACCAACTGCATACACTAAAAATTTTCTGATAGCCCTCATATAACGGTACCCCCCAATTTTCGGTATTTTGGGGTTTTTGAGCGTGCTTTTCAGCCGAATTTGCTGAAATTTGGTACAATGAGTTCTTTTTTGGTACATCAATCCACACACATCTCGGTAACCTACGGTTTAATAGTCGCGAAAAACAAATAGAAACATGAAGATATCGGAAAATAAAATAAATTAATTTTTGAATTAAAATATTTTTTTTTTGAATTTTCGATTTTTTAGTACGGGTAAGAGGATACGATTTTGCCATAATATTCTAAAATATACGACGCTTTCTTCTGCAAATTCTTTTAGATGATTGTTAAATATCGGTGAATTCATCTAATAAGAGTTTCGTCGTTAAAAGTGACTAAATATATTGCACTTACAATACATAAAAATGGTCAATATTGAAAAGCATGCAATTCGCGTATTCGTGGAAATCTGTTGTTGCCCATGCGATTTTCGTATAAACCGAATCACTCTCTTCCAATAATTATGCATTTTTCGAGATTTCATAGAGCGGCCAAAGTGTGCCGCTCTATGCACTTTACTATGCAAAAATCCTAAAAATGACTAAAATTGGGGCAACGTGCATACGATTTTTATGCGCATCCGATTTCAGTAATCTCCTATGAAAATACACAAAAGGACACCTATTTTAAAAGGATCGGTTAAGAACCGCGGATGTGCCTCCACAATCGATTTTTGATAAAATACGCATATTATTCGCGTATCGATATATTTTTGACCTATTTTCACACAGATTCGCGAATATGATAACACAAGAATGAATGTATGTGAAATCAATTCGAAGAAAAACACGATTATATACGCGAATTTGTCAAAATAAGTTTTTGGAGTTTTTCCCACATTCAAGGTAATTATATCCGCCGTTTTATTGGGTGGAATTGAACACGGATGGGCTCATTAGATCCGGCACGTAAAATAACTAAAATCACATTATCATTATTTATTACCAATATTTTAAGATTTTGACAAGAACACTTCATTTTATAGAAATGAATTTAAATTACATGCAGTATGTTCATATTTCGCGAGTTATAACCTTGCAAACCTCAGCTTCAAGGAATTTAAAAGATTTTTGAAATTTCCCATATGTATGGGAGCTATATCCAAATCTGAACCAATTGAAGAAAACTTAACAATCATTAGGTTATATGAACTTCAGTACCGTGTGCAAAATTTAGTGGCAATCGGCCTAACTTTAAGTCTTTGGTGCAACATTTACCAAAAACCCAAAGTTAATTTTGTCAAATACCGCACCCCTGAAGATGCTGCCAATGACCAACGTGTCATCCAAAGCCAATATGATTCTTTGTTGCACCATTTACTTAAAATCAGACAAAATGTATTTGGGAGCTATATCTAAATCTGAAACAATAAGTTGGGCTAAATAAATGATGTGTGCCAAATTTCATCCAATTTGGATCATAAATGCGACCTGTACTTGGTTAACAATTTAACATGAACAGTCAGACAATCGGCTCACAAAGAGATTCTATGCTTATTCTTAAAATGAACCATGTGTCCTATCTCGTTTTTCTTTTGCATGTTACAAACATATGTACAATGACATAGCTTGGTGAAGGGTATAAAAATTGAGCTTATATGTAAAAACGTTTTCTATTAGTCTGGTTATCATGGATACATTATTTAGGGGAACCCCCCCATTCTCGATTTTAATTTTTCAAAATTTTCAATGGGCTGGTAAATCAATATCAATGCTTGTTAAGGTTTGTAACTTTGCACATATATATTTGAAGATTTAAAAAGGAAGAAAAATATTTTACAAAAAATTTTTGTTGTTATTTTTTGAGATCAAAGAAAAGTCCTTATTTTTTATGGCGGGCATGATAACTCCTCACTGGAACATCGGAATCCGAAAATTCAATCGGTGTTTGTAGTACATGTCTGGCTCTGGTATGAACTAGGATTATTGACTTCGCTCTAAAATTAACAAAATGGCGGACCTTTGAAAAAATATTTTTGGAAAATCGCCGATTTTTGACCAAAAACCAAGTTAAAAAATAAGGAAGATCTTCACCGATTGGCTTTATCCTTGTTCATACGATAGCTATACACTCACAGAGAAACGTGTGAAAATTTGGAATCGATGGTGTTATTAGTTTTTGAGTTATCGTGCCCGCAATTCGCAAAAGAGAAAAACGCGTTTAAAGTTTGCGTCACTTGATGCTAACACAATAAATCGGCTATAACTTTCACTTGAAAATTTGTAGGGACATTCTTGAATTAGTGTAGATTCGAATTAAATCAAAAAAAATTTGACCCCGAGAATGGGGGGGTCCCCTTAAATTGAATTGAAAGAGCTTTCATCAACATTTTGGCTCACATCCGATAAAGTGGGTATATACTCAACATCCGTAAGCCTAGTGTTAACCCAGTCATAAGTATAGTAGGCCTCATATTCATGCAGGATCTATGGAAAAGCACCTATTAACTTTTGTGTCTTTGGGGATCTAGTTTATTTGTAATTAAAACTCAACACACAATTAATATCACTTTTAACTCAAGATTTAGTTTTCCAATAAAATAATCTTATCGAAAATACAATTCTTAGTCAGTGTAAAATTTGGAATCGCATTCCTGAATTCTAATTCCTTTCTTTCACAATACAATTTCCACGAAGACAAATTTTGAATCAAACTTATAAAATTGAATTAAAACGGTACATATCGCATATCATTCTATATTCTGATTACACAACCGAGATGCATCATAAACTCCGCCGAAATGGTACGCATCTTAAAAGGTAATAACTCTAACTGAACATATTTTACGGATCTCTTTCAAAAACAAGTCGAAAAACATAACAGCATAGGTTAATAATAGTAGCGTGAATTGATGTTTATCTTAATTGGATGTAATACAAATAAACAGCTAAATGTTTATTTGTATAAAAACAAAAAAAGACAAAAAATTCCAAAACTTCCGAAAAATATTTGTGGCTTATGAATATTTTAAAACACACACACATATGAATATAACACAACATAATTACCGACCCAAAGAAATTTCAGTGTGAACTAATGACCAGTTATTCGCTCTTTGAATTGAGAAACAAGTTGAACAACACATACACCCAAACAATGTTTCACAAATCTTCGATGTTTTGTAGGAGGTGGTTAAACATTTCAAGAGGTAATTAGCCAAACTTACAGAAACTAAAAGAGAACAAGTTAAGAGAATATTTTCTTTTATGAAACACTAACTATTATTTTCCATACAACTTTATTAGTATAAATAATAACGCCACTTCGATTGATGTATACAGAAATTGTTTTGATTTCAAACAGCAATCATCCAAAGAAACTACATTTCAAAAATGCGTGCCTTCATTGTAAGTTGAATGTTTAAGGACAGTGGAGAAATATTAAAGACTGATACTTGACATTCCTATTTGCTTCCAGGTTTTATGCTTAGTGGCTGTAGCCTGTGCCGACAAATTGGGTTATAACTATCAACCCGTTGGCCACTCCGACAGTGGATTATCTTTCACCCCAGGTTCTTCCAACAGTGGAACTTCTTTCGTTCGCGGAGCTGTTGGTGATGGTAGTGCCAGTGTTGTTGCTCCCGCCTATGCTCCCGTTGCTGAATTGGAAAAGGAATTCTACACATTCTCTGCCCCCGAAGGTGAATTCAATGATCCTAATGCCGCTGAACGTGTTGCTGGTAGCTTGAAGAAGGGACTCCGTGTTGTCTTCATTAAGGGACCCGAAAACAATGGTTTGGAAGATGCTGCCTTGGCTTTGGCCAAACAAGCTGCCCAACAACAAACTGCCATCTATGTGCTCAACAAACAAACCGATCTCGGTGAATTGGCCAACAAACTTAACCAATTGGGCGCCAACAACAACCAGAAACCCGAAGTTCACTTTGTCAAATACCGTACCCCTGAAGATGCTGCCAATGCCCAACGTGCCATCCAAAGCCAATACGATTCTTTGGGCGGTTCATCTCACAGTGTTAATGGCGGTGTTGCTCCAGTTTTGAACTTTGCTTCTCAGCCAGCTGTTCGTACTGCCACAGCTCAAACTCCCCTGAATGCTTATTTGCCATCATCGGTATTCCGTCATTAAATTTGGAAAAAAATAGCATATAGAGACTGATGAATTGTTGTTGAAATTGATTGTTAAAATTTTAGTTATAAAAATAAATTAAATATATGAATTAAAAAAAAACATTTTTTTGTTTTTGTATTATCTATTAGTTTTTGTATTATCACTAATCGTAAAATAACTATTTCGACAAAATGCCCCCTGGTCGACCACAACTACCATGGAATTATTACTTTCTGCGGATCTATAATCCTAGCATGGGCCTTATTTCGCGATATTTGAGCGATTAGAGGTAAACATCTCATCTTTTCGAACCTTGTTTACCCCGTGAAAACCACTGAATATTGTATGTGGCCAAATTCCCTTCCACATAAGTTGTGATGTTCGGCTTATAATTGTGGTTTATAGTTGACAATGGAAAGATTAGAAATGTAAAAATATTGCGGATGCATCTGTTTTGAACACCTGTTCGAAACAAAATTTAACATGTGTTCATAACAGAGATTGAAGTTTCCAAAACACTTAAATTTTTTCTGTTCATGCCGCGCTTTTTGTGCTAGGCTCTGAACATTCCGAACTGCTTTCATATGGTGAGACCCCTTTCTCTGTTTAAAATTATGTATAAAATTCAGAAACATAGACGAAGATCCTAAAAAGTAGACCAAATTTTTGTAGGAGGATTTTCTACACAGTAAGAACCCAAAATACGAAATTTCAAATGAGTAGGTTGAAAATGATCGGGAACGCTTAAAAATACCAAATGTTGGGGGTACCCCAATTTGAGGATTACACTAACTAGGTGGCACATATTGATAATATTTAGTAGTAAGGGAGAACCCAAAATGACATATTATACCAAATATTAGGGGTACAGTTATAATGGGGCTACCCCGAAATATGGCTCAATATTAGGAACTTTTGGTATGGAGGATTTCTGCTCAAAGAGAATCTCAAATTCAAATTTGATATTGCCTAAAAGCTTCAAAATACCACTCTATAGTCGGCATATTAGTATAATGTAAAAAAATGGGAGAAAATGTGTTGAAGCCAACAAGTTTTTTTGATTTCGTTCCTGATTTGTGGCTAAACTACACAACTCACGCACATGTGATCAGTGACTAAGTTGCAGAATACCCTATGGACAATTTGATTCTAATGTATGATTTTTCGATATAATCACTGCATCCACCCAAAATGAATGCTGACATTTTGAAGCCGGATTTTCGGTGTTTTTTTTTTTTTTGAATTTTTCTTATAATTACGACGCGCATCCAGATAATGGACTAAGCTAATTATGGGATTGTAGAACTCGTGATTTTGCTTCGTTTAGTGTATACCTCATGGATGTGCTCACCGTAGCTTAGTTGCAATTCGATTCCAAAGACGAAAATTTGGTGCGTAAATTTTTATAAAAACCCTATTTTTTGAGTCTAAATTTAAGAAGGTCCCCTCAAATGCCCTTGAATCCCGCGGGATTTTAGTTCTTCTACGTGCCGGATCTAATGAGCCCATCCACGTTTAATTCCACCCACTAAAACGGCGGATATAGGTACCTTGAATGTGGGAAAAACTGCAAAAACTTATTTTGACAAATTCGCGTATATAATCGCGTTTTTCTTCGAATTGATTTCACACACATTCATTCTTGTGTTATCATATTCGCGAATCTATGTGAAAATAATATGCGTATTTTATCCAACATCAATTGTGGAGGCACATCCGCGGTTCTTAACCGATTCTTTTGAAATAGGTGTCCTTTTGTGTATTTTCATACGAGATTACTGAAATCGGATGCGCATAAAAATCGTATGCACGTTGCGTGATTTTTAGCCATTTTTAGGGTTTTTGCATAGTAAAGTGCATCGAGCGGCACGATTTGGCCGCTAAATGAAGCCTCGAAAAATTCAGAATTATTGGAAGAGATTGCTTCGGTTTATACGAAAACCGCATGCGCAACAACTGATTTCCACGAATACGCGAATTGCATGCTTTTCTATATTGATCATATTTATGTATTGTAAGTACAATATATTAAGTCATTTTAACGTCGAAACTCTTATCAGATGAATCTACCGATATTTAACAATTATCTAAAGGAATTTTCAGATGAAAGCGTAGTATATTTTAGAAGATTACGGGGCCGACCATACGATACCCTACACAACTACCACGGAACTCAAATTTTCTGCGGATGTTTATTCCGAGACTGGACAATATTTCGTGATATTTGCACCCTCTTGCCCGATTAGAGGTAAACAGCACCTCTTCCTCACACTGACATATTTTCAGAATATTACAAGTATTCAGTAAAACTATTGTCCAGATTCCCTTCACCGTGGGTTGTGTTGTGATGTTCGGCTTTCGGCTTTCATTTGAGGTTTATAGATCGACTCGAAAATAACACAAAAAATTAAGTATTCGGACCACTTCATTCGAAAATTATTATCTGATCATCACCGAAAATTATAGGCGTTGTCCTTGACCATAACTGGAACCTCATGGAACATTTCAAAGCGATCAGCGCTATAGTTTGTCATTTTATATTTTGTCATTTTTCACACAAAAGTCAGGGTCCATTTGACCAGCTACATATTGACCGATCTTTCTCCAAACAGGCATGCTTATTCTTTGGCCCGATCCGCTTCTCCGTGCAAAATTTCACGATGTTCGGACCATTGTTGCCGTCTCTGGAGCGACCAGAAAACAGACAAAAATTAAGTATTTGGTCCATTTCATCCCCTAAATATTAACCGATTTTTAGCAAAAACAATAGGGGTCTTCATTGGCGCGAACCCAACCTACATGCAAAATTTCGTGAAGATTGGTCCATAACTGTGGCGGACGGACGGAAGGACACACATGTCTAGATCAACTCAGCTAGTCGAGATATGATGATCGGTATACTTAAAGGTGGGTCTAGGACTAATATTTCGCGGCGTTACAAACTCTTGGGGCTGCACAAAGCTGTAATACCCTGACAACATAGTTGTGTAGGGTATAAAAATCGCAAATTTAAAAAACATTTCGATTTAATTAAAAACTTCATTTATTTTATTTTCAGATATCTTCATGCTTCTATTTGTTTTTCGCGACAATTTAACCATTATTCAATGTGATTTGACTAGTACTGCAAAGAAAACAAATGTTTTTAACCATTTGTGAAGAAATTCGCGAATTACAACAAATATGAATTAATTTAATTTATATTTGCAATACAAGATTTAAAATAGCTATAACTTTTGTGCGCAGCATCCGAATTTGTGAACGCGAACATATTTCGAATCACCATATTTTTCTTAACCTATGTAGCAAAAATCATGAATGTGCTCGCAAAAATTTTTTTCAAATTTTTTTTTTATGGAATTTTAAAAGAATTTTGTAATTTCCCATATATAAGTATAATAAATATATTCGGAGGAGACCACATATGTCAAACTCTACACATTTATAAGGGGACTTTAATTTTTGGCGAAGATAAATTCGTATCAAAGATACTAGCAATGCCAAACAATATTATATTTTAGTATACCTATCATATTCATTAACATACATCAATCTAATTGATATTATTTCGAAGGTCAATAGTTTCTCTAGAGTATAGTGAAAACTTCAACG